TTGCCTTGCTTTGCTTTGCTTTGCTTGCTTGCTTGCCGTGCCTGCCCTGCCTGCCCTGCCTGCCCTGCCTGCCTGCCTGCCTGCCTGCCTGCCTGCCTGCCTGCCTGCCTGCCTGCCTGCCTGCCTGCCTGCCTGCCTGCCTGCCTGCCTGCCTGCTTGCTTGCTTGCTTAGCAAGCCAGCGCTGTCTGATGCGCCAACGCGTCAATCCCGTCTTCCGGGATCCACTGGAAGAGTTAGGGGCGAGTAGTTTTGGCACACGGAAACACCACGCTTTTAGACACGAGCTGCAAGCCAAGCTGCCGGCATAACCAGAATGGACTTTGCCCGGTTGTGATCCTGTGTCGCGATGCTTCAGACCTTGACGAACTAGCGGCGAGCCAATGACATCCAGAGGTTTGCATGCCACCACCGTGCCCACACCTCAAAGGACTCAAGGCTTGAACTCAATGACCTCCTTCCGTGCAAGTCTTTCTGCTTCAGAAGTCCTTCATGAAAGTCGCACTCTCGTAAGCGCACCAAAGTCCTCGAGTGAGAAACTGCCAAGCGCAACGTGGCCAGGTGTTCGCGTCTGAACTTCTCCACAGGCTCGACACGCACATCAAATCCAACAGACAGGCTGCAAGACGACCAAGCCCCGGCCACAAGCTAAAGTAGCCCACACTGGAGAATCCAATGTAAGTCCATGCTGGCACAGGGTCTAGTAAAGTATCTCGGTGACCAGAGCACCTGAGCTGCTTAGGTGCAAATCATTGCAGCTTCCCTTATGGATGAACTTCTGTACCGTGCATCATGGACATCAGGCAAACTATTTGTCAGGATGGCTCACATGCCTCTTCTTGTCTCTGATCGGACAGAGCAACTTTCCAGCTTCCTGGACGAAATGCAGCTGTTGGGTACCGACAAACCCTCCGCAGGGCTCACAACAGCTGCTCCCCGAAGAATGCACGAAGCAAGCTACAGCCCGTGCTCAAATGAACGGAGAACCCCAGGCAAGTGCTTCCAGGGGAGGACCAGTCAACTAGCAGGTGACTAGCAAGCACTCTCCTTTGCAAGCATGGCACAAGTAGCCTGTCCGAGCGATGCAGAAAGCCTGCCAATCCGAGGATACCTTTCTCCTTCAACAGCACGAGCAGCAGACGGCAGGTCCGGCGTGCTGTTTGCATGCTGTATTCAAACGATCTGCATGAACCCCAGGGTGCTACTATACTGCTGCAGGTTGTCTCTTTGCCGCGGTGTGGATAGACGATAAGAAGGCTTAGCAGTACCACTTAACCTTCCCATCTTATTGAGCGGCTTCCCTGCTCCTTCTTGGCCGCGTCATGCTGCGCAATGCAGAGTTTGTCCAGGAAGACAATCTGCGCCTCGCGGAAGACCTCCGGCAACGGAACTCTTCCGCTACGACGTCTGCTCACATCCAGCTTCAGCCTGCCGAAAGCGCTGCCAGAAACCGAGAACCAGGAAGTAGGCCGCGAAACCTGAGACGGGAAAAACTGCTGCAAGGCGCTTCCCAGGCACAACCAAAACAACCCCAAGCCGCCCAAGCCCCGACTTTCTTCGGAAAAGGAAAAGCCAGGGCGCCTAGGCCGGGAGTCCAAAGGTTCATTGGGAGACCGATCCAGACCTGTCACTGACGCTGGCTACAGTCTAGTTTTGTCTGGTGCAGTACCCCGAATGGGGGCTGGGATACAGGACAGGAAGCAGTGCAGGGACCAAGGCATGAAAGAAGTACCGCGATACATGCATGAGCAATAACTCTGTGGGCTGGTGCTGCCAGGCTGAAAATAAATAGCCACCACATCACATGGCGTAATGTAGGAAATCGGCGAGGCGCGATTCTGAGTAAGCGAACGGACCCGGACAAGCACGCTCTACAAGCGAACCTGAATGGAACCAGGGATCGCACACGATCCCACCTCAAGCAGGCCCACACAAGCACTGGTCGTGAAGGAGGCAATCAGAGCAGCTCGGGAATTGAAGACAATCAGCCTTGGGAGATGGGATGCTTTGTTCTCAAAGGTGTGCAACGAAGCGCGCCTTGCATGCAATTTGAAGACACATATCTACCGGACCATGCAAACTTGGCGAGCCAAAAAAACAAAGCCATCCGAGGCCCAGATGATAGGTTCTTCCTTTCCGAGAGGGCATGACATTCGGTTTCGGTGGCTTGGGATCAGCAATCGGCCTGACATTCCTATCAACTTCTGAGAACTGCTGCATCCCTCAAGGCCAGTGCCATCCCGGGAGCAAGCATAAAAGCTTCTGGAAGCGAGAAGTCTCCCAGTCATGACTGAGGAAGTAGCCTGAGCTCAGCACTCCAGGGCTGAACCCCCGGAATCTCTCTCAGCCTCTGACGCTTTGCAAGACAAGAAGGCGTCAAGTCTTTGCATCCGGGTCACCGAAACTCTCGCACGGCACACTCAGCTGATAGCAGATAGCCTGCAGTTGCTTTCTTAGAGTTGCAACAACCAGACGCCGCACATTTTGAGAGACTTCCGATGAAGAGATCGGAAAGTATAGTTTCTGACGACTACACAGTGTGGTCTGCTAGGTATGTGCAGTCAGCGCATTGCATGTACTGAAAGCTCGCCCTCACATCGCAATCGGCCCAGGATCTGAGGCAAGCAACTGCCCTGTTATCTCACAGCAGCTCAAATCAAGGGGACCGATGACCGGGCTTTCAGTAATTGTTCGATTCCGTCGGACTGGCTAGCCAGCGAGAACTGGTCAGCAGCTCCGAAAAATAGAAATCCTCCAGCGCAGCGCTGTGGAGCTTGTCGGTGACGGAGCATGATCTCTTGCCACTACAGCAGTACTCATACACCCGGCGCTAGAATCACTCGCAACCACGACCCAACAGACTAAGTATGGCAATGAATCGCCTCCGATCCGAAGCGGCCACTGCTTGCAGATGCCCAGTGCTGTGCCCAGCCAGCCAATGCTACCTCCACAAACGATTTCGGTTGTTAGCGGCAGTTCCGCATGCCTTTGGTTTTCATCCTACATGCTTCTTAACCTTACTCGCCCAGTTGAAAGTTGGGCATCAATGTGACTCGCTGGAACTTGGCAGCACCCCGCAGTGCCCCGCAGGCCAACTTTAAATCCCGCGCTTCACCTGCAGCGGGACGCCCCTCAACAGCTCTGGCTCCAAGTCCTCCTGCAACATTGCAACTGCTGTCTATTGCCGATGTTGTGCCACGCAAGTTTGTGCAAATCAATACGCAGCTAAATCACAGCGTGCGTTCGCGTTGCAATGCTTTTGCTGCGGACCAAGAACGCTCGAATACCTAAAACGAAATTTTGTCTATTGAGCCATGAATTTGCTCAAAACTGAACTAAACTCGACTCTCATGGGCCGTCTGAAGTCCTGCAGCTCGGCATGAGGCGAAGTTGGAGCCAGCATAAGTCAATATAGGTGCACAACGCAAAGGCCATTGCGGCGAGCACCCCCACCTGATGGCAACGTGCAAAACATCTCCGTGAGCCCGAGGTGTCTCGCACAGGGTGTTGGATGGCAACGTGTGCATTGTCTTTTTGTGTGATCTGTCGGACCACCAGCATGGTCTTGAACCGACATTGCCACATCAACTGCAACAGCTTCATTGGCTCGATTCTGTTCTTGTTTCGCCATCTCGGGGCTGAAGTATGGACGCAATCGAAAACTCCGAGAGTCCGCCCCAAATGTAGGCTTTGGAAACAGCCGAATCTGGAGCGTGCTCATAACACGATAACAGCACAACAGGACTCACCGTGATCGTGTGCATCGTCTGGTTAAACCTCGTTCTCGAGGTTATGCACGAAACCTTTGCACCTGCGTTTTGACCATCAACCGAAGCCCCACTTCAGTAGACCGAGCGAGACCTTCCTGCCAACGAATTCTTTGTCATTGCATTGGAACTTGAAACAACATGAAAACTTGCGCCCCAAGGGGGGGACAAAAGCTCGTTGCTGCACGGCCACAGCGGAGAAGCCTAGCTTTCGCGGAGAGCTGGGCAGGTCGAGACATGTTGCAAGGAATCGACGACGGAGTTCAAGTTGAGGTTTCAGAGAGGGCGGACAGACAAAACGAGCCAAGTTTGGCTATACAGCTCTCTGGTTGTTAACGCCCCCCAGGACCTGGACTTCCAGGTCCTGGTCAAGACCTGGACATGCAAGTCTTGCTTTCATGTTCAACAAAGTACCCTTCAAGCGTTTTAGAAGGTTGGAACAGCCGTCTTCACGGCCCTTACCCCCAGTCCCTCGACTAGACCAGCCAAGGCGAGCATCATGAGCATCATTGGGGGCTTGTTTCTCCAATTAAACCCCTCCAAAGGCTTCCCAGCATCGCCCCAACAAAAGGTCCCGCGTGGCGCCTCCTCCAATCCAGCCAAGGCATGGGGATTCCCCCCAAACCGGGCCGGAGTGGACTCCTCAGAGCCTTGTAGTCTTCAAGCAGCTAACGCTGAATGTTTAAACTCAAGCATCCCCAGGGGGGAGCTTTCGTGACACATGAAAACGATGTGCAACATTTATATTGCTATTACTCTTACTCTTACTCTTACT